CAATATTGAAAAAAATCTGTAATTCTTTTCATAACGTTTTCATTTTGTTAAAAAAAAAAAAAAAAACAAACAAACGTGTAATAGACTCTTAAGTAGCGAATTCTTTTTATCGTTGACTGACACGAGTCTTTTTTTAGCATCAGAGAAAGGATCAGAGATCGGGCGGCGTTCGCGTGTTTTCAAACAACACCGTGTTATAATGCGCTCAAAGATTACTCGAAAAAGGTGCGTCGGGAATTGTTTTCGTGTACCTCAAGTGCGAGTCGATCGATTCGACTGCGAGCGCGTGCGACATAGTCGGGCGATGTCGATGCAGTTCGCATATTACGTGACTGCCACCGATTTCGACGACCCATGTATTTGCCTATCGCCGAGCGACGGTATTTGCGCGCTGAGATTTTCCAATTAAACTGTGATTAATTCCGTGACGGACGGTCAGAACGTGCACCTTGTTGTTTACAACGGAAACGAAAGAAGTCGAGAGAGGATGAGAGAGGGAGGTAGAGGGAGATAAATAGATAGAGAAAGAGTAAACGCGGAGAAGATCGATGAACGGGAAATCGATGTTAATCTGATTTCGGCAGTCGAGCAGGGCGGGGGCAATTTGCTCGGCTCCGGAAAAGCGCGTACGCGCCGCGAAGAGATACACGTACATCGCGCGGACCGCGAGCGTTTACTCGATAACGCGCCGTGTTATCCCGTTAATGCTTTAACAACGCGCGCGCGCGGAGCAACCGGCGCACTAGCCGAACGGAATTTACGGTACATCGAGCCCCTTTTTTTCCGGCAGGAGGCCGGCAAACGCTAGCAAGAGCGCCAAGTTACCGCGTGACGATTGATAGATGTGTGCCAGCTGCGCAAATAAATTTTGCGCGCGTATCCGCTCGCGGAAGCCCGCCGTTTATCCTCGTTGTAAGCGCCGCGTTTTGTAGAAATTTCGCGAGGATATCGAATGGAAAAAATGCGATCGCTTCTCGTTTCATCTTCTTTCGTTCACGAATGAGTCATTCGCTCGACTTGTATACAATGATATCGCGATGAATTATCGAGAATGCTATCGCGTCGTGCGATAAGTCGATTGCGCGATTTCTTCAGAAAACGAACGATATATACCGACTATATTTACACGGACACTCTTAATCGGGTTTAATAACATCCGTAGTTATGAAACTGATCGATCGTAGCTATTTTTCTCTGAAAAATAGAATGACCGTGATTGGCTACTTTCTAATTACGAATGGTTATTAAACCCGATTAAGGCCCAGCTCCGCAACTCACGATTAACTGTTGAACCGAGGTTATTCGAATTCTTGAATTGAAAAGAGATGAGGAATAAAGTGAACTTAGATTAAGGGTTAACCATGATTTGTGGAACTGGACCTAAGAGTGTCCGCGTAAACGTATGTAGTCACTACAGGTCTGTCTGGTTTTTCATTATGGTTTGATTAACTTATGGTTAGACTTAACTGATATTTTATCCAATAGGCTTCATCTATGATGTCACGGATGAAGCTCATTAGATGAAATATCAGGTTAAGCTTAATAATCACAAGTTAATGAAACCAGATAATGAAAAACTGGGCCGTAATTAATGTATCTTGATAACAGACGCTATCGCGAACCGACGCTAAAAACCTGCTTTCCGTCGATCTGCCGACCCTTAACGTAACTCGTCGTAATGAACGTGTAAAGTGAACACACACGGAGGAGTCGTGAGTCACGCGGCATTAGCTCCAGATTGTTGTCTTCAACGGATTAAGCCTTGAAGAAATTAATCGTCTCGTCTCCGCGTGCACGAGCGAGAGCGTGCGACGTTTTTAATAGAATTAAACCGATCGACGGGCGTGCGTATGTTTATTATTATTTTGCTGTCTCAGCAAAATGCGAGAGGGAAAGCGAATTTAAATGGATTGAGAGACGAAATGGATTTATTTATCCTCCCCTCTTACTCCACCGCGTTATACGCTCAAACCAGTTTCATTCGATAGCTAAACTATCCACATTTGCTCGCATAAAAGAAATTTCCGATACTAGCGAGGCGGAAATACGGTAACGGTTGCTCGTATTTAGCATTATGCTAATAAACAAAGCGACGTTTTGCGTTCGTTTCCAGCAACGAAATCGCTGTAGGACAGCCCAGTGGACAAATAACAGGAAACAGTTTATTTAGCATCATATTCGACTGCGTCGCAGGATGAACGTGCGAGATAAGTTTTATTTTGCCTATTTTTAACTAAATTGCAAAAAATATGATTGGAATACGATTCATTATAGCTCGTTTGTCATCGTGAGAATTACATGTACGATAGACAAGAATTAAATTGGAAAATAAAAAAACGGCAATTTATCTACTTCAAACTTTATCGCGTCGATTGCGTTACGTCTAGCGATGTGATCGCTGAATACATCAAATTATATTAAATTAAAGGACGAGTATCTGAAATCTTGAAAATAAAATTGTAATTCCTTGAACTCTAATATAACTGAAGTGTTCTGAAAATTTAGTATTTTCTCTACTCTCTAAAACTTTTAGAGTGAATGCCTAGAGAGTGAGAAATCTCTCATTCTTAAAAAATTGTAAACTGATTCTTTTTTACGACTGGCTCAATTTTCACTTTCGGAGTGAGAAATTCCACTCCAAAGAATTTAAAGATTACCTCGGGTTATTTTATGTCATTATTTTAATTTCTCACCTTAGATTATATATTGTATATATATACTATATAATATTTTTAAGCACTGTAAACGTTTCAGACATTAAGATATTATTAAAATACTTTCGAGAAAGAGGAATTTATCAAAAGTTCCCGAATATTCAGGAATCCCGCGCTTTGAGTGCTGAAAGCAACCGCTCGAGCTTTCGCGCGACTCGAAAATCGTTTCGCAAACATTTGCAGGGAGGATTTGGAACGTCCGCCGTTAATTACGTCCATTTCACGGAGGCTACGCGATACGATATCAAGGCCACGACTGCCGTCACCTGTTCTTGAGCAACATAATTGCGGTCGTGGAACGGAGTAAAATCGAGCAGCGCCGCGGCGACGGAGTCGACCGGGTCGGCGCGCGTCGGGCGTTATTACGTCGTAGGATACGCACTGGCATACGTCGCGTCGTCGGCGTGGCACGGAACTCGAGTCGCCTGCCGCCGTTCTCGGTCGTCACGTAACAGCACGCGGCCGCGTGCGCGCGCGCTGCGGCGTCACGGCGTGTCGCACGCACGCACGCGTGAAACCGCGGCCGCTCACGCACCCACGTCGCGCGCGCGTGCCGCCGACGGTTTCGTTTCTCGTCCCGGCCGATTATTCGCGAACGGTACGCGCTCGTTGGGCCCCGAGCTCGCGCGCGAGTCTAAATATACGTCGGTTATTAATTATTCTCGGCACTTCGATAAGTGTCTTCTGTCGATGCAGAATTTTTCTCATCCCTGTACTGCTGGTGTTTCCTAGGAAAACGTTTCGAAGTGAAAAAAAACGAGGTACAAGCCTGTACGGAACTGTTTTCCCGTTGTCACCGGAAGTGAGGTTTTTCAGACGTCGCGTGATGAAATTCGTACAAAAAAAGTATTTACTGCTTAAAATGCGATATGTGGATACCCGGATACACGTATATATTGATTGGAAGGAATTAAAGACCGATATCGTGAAACCACAAAACTACTTCGTATCACACACCGATCAAGGATAGTAATCGTTTGACGGTTTTTCGATAATTGTCTACCGAATTTCGCGTAGCTTGACGAAATGGATGGACGTGAATTAATGTATCACTATTCACGGCTGATTTGCCGAGACGCTCTCAAAGTTCCCGTTGAACTGGAGGTTTTGCAACGAGAAGATGAGCCTCTAGGCCGAGAAATGTCACTCGATCAGTTTTCTGCGCAATCAGTTTAGTCTCCGCGTTAATAATTGTACATGAGCTTGTAATTTGGTCGCGAGCTTATCAACGTTTATGGGTGACAACAAGCGGGAGATAAGAGCGTTGAGGTACCGAGTGGCGTGAATATCACATGAATGTCTGTTTCGCCACTCAACTTCTGCGAATCGGAAAATCACGCGATGAAACGAAAAGTGTAGAAAATTGTGCGCAAAAAGTCACTTTCTGCCTCGAAATCCATCGGCGGACCAACAACCATTGGTTGTTCCATTCAGCGAAAAAAGCGTAGCTTTTGCAACTATTGTGAGATTTTTCAATATGACTAGCATATACATTTATATTCATTGAAGAACCGCAAAACAATGTGTAAAAATCAATTATATTAAAACATCTTATAGCGTTTTCCTTTTGGAATGCAATACTGATGCAATTGAGTGCAATCGCTTTACATATTTTCAATGTTCAAATAATTTAACCCTTTTAACGTTACGAGGTTATCGCGACGACAAAGAATATTAATAATTAAAAGGATTAAACTACTAACACGAAAAATATGTTTATCGATTTGCACTTTTAATCGCACTCAGCGTGCACTTAGTGTTGCACTTGAGTTTTCCCAGTAGAAAATTCAGCTATTTCATTCAGATATTTATAAGACAGCCTTTTCCGTCAAACTCCAGCATTGACTGTCGAAGCGATAACAAATATTAACGTGTAACGTATTTTGAGCAGAAATCGCTCGACTTTGCACTATTCACTCTCTCTCTCTCTCTCTCTCTCTCTCTCTCTCTCTCTCTCTCTCTCTCTCTCTC